ACCCATGGCCAAACAGAACGTCTCTTCCCTGAACTCCCAGCAGGACAGTAATTAGGCACAGATTACATAGACGTGCTTAGAAACACCATACAACCATAAGCACAGCAATGAAAGCACGCGTTCATTACACCTCCAAGGAGTTTTTTAATCAAAGGGAACCACCTTCAGACTACAGGCTGTTGAAGTCCAACCTCGTCAGTCCACGCTCCGTAATATCAGCTACATGTAATGACGCAATGGTCCCTTGGCAATAACAAACCCCTTCCTTCCTTTCTTTCCATGAACAACTCCTAGTTTTCCAATTGTATTTACATGTGCACTGAACGTGCATTCTGTAATAGTGTGTTGTCATGTCGCCACAAAGTACGAAGATAATCAGTAATGCCTATATACCATGGTGGATAAATGGCGTGGTTGATATCGGAATTAAGGAAACGTAATAGGCTGACATAAGCATGGAATATGCATCCAAGACTCTCAGTTGAATTCCTCTGAGACTGCGACGTAACTAAATCACTCTGCTTTATCACCTTTTAACTTAATCGAAATACTACAACGGGATGGGATTTTGCTATAAGCAGGGATGCAATTACCAAGAGTGGTATTTCAGATAACATCCCAGACACTTTTCTTTTTACCTGTTACCAGTCCGGCACTTCCTGCAAGTACGACACCAAGCAGGATATATGTTTCCTGACAACACCGTACTTCACCTTTATCACTGTTGGCTACAAACACATATCAGTATTAGGCTCTATCATTGGTTCATGAAAGATCCAGTTGTAATACATAATCATTCAAGCATATACATAATGACACATTTTAGACAATTCCATGATCATATACGTAACGCTTGAGTCTATTTTGCATGAGATGTGGCCGTTATACAAACACCACGTGCTATTTATCAATCAAACAGTATTGATTTGTAATATATAACAGATAACGTCATTTCGTCGTGTGATAACCACAAATACGCTAACATATCAATTTCTGATAAGGATTTCTGTGAAATTAGTGGGTGAATCATCTCTCTTAAAGAAAACCATCTATCAACCATTGCTTTGTTCAGGATTCGTCTAACACATTAAGTGGAAGCAGTGGTGTGGCAAATCGTGTCTGGTCGCAATCCATGGCACTCTCATTACCTTCGTCTTGATTGCACAATAAAACATGTGTGATATGTGTTTGTCCCGACGGAAACACATGTTTTTGGAAAACAAACTTCAGCGTGAGGGAATTAAACGTTTTTTTCAGCCTGTGAAAGAACACAGGATGTCACGGGGGCATGCGGCGATCAGACTAAAAGATAAATATACGAAATGTACCTTTTCTTCTATGTATTTCGTAATGGTTACGAATGGATAAACCAGTCAGTAATGGTCTACAGTATAATCACGTTAAAAACATCCTTCTCCAAATGATCATATTGAAATGTTTTTATGGCCGTGGATATGTGAAACCACCTACATTAAAACGAAAACAAGCTATTCCAGTTTATCTTTGCCATGTGCTGCGGAAATCGTATACGTAGATTTATTGGTTTTATCAACTTACCCATTTGGATGCAGGTGTATCACATCCTGTAAATATACAAATAAATACGAGAACAAAGTAGTCTTTTATCGGGGGCTTATTGAGAAAGCATGACCTCTTCTGGTCTTTCGGCGGGTTGAAGCTGAGTGATATAATCTTTACCGCATTCGTCAATGTATTTTCAATTCAAGCGATATTGTCAGAAAATTGTTTGGTTTCTTTGATAACAAAGCTACTTGATATCTCTGTGACATTAAATATCCTGTTAGAGTTTAGAGGCAAAAGTATTGAATTATTATAGTTTAGGGATCACCATCTCTCATAGCTACAGCAGTATGTGTTCATAATGCCTCGGTTACAGCTGCATGTGTCTAGTCGTGCTGACTGGTTACAATGTAACTGACATCTGATATCACGGTTACAGCTGTATGTGTCTAGTCGTGCTGACTGGTTACAATGTAACTGGCATCTGATATCACGGTTACAGCTGCATGTGTCTAGTCGTGCTGACTGGTTACAATGTAACTGGCATCTGATATCACGGTTACAGCTGCATGTCTCTAGTCGTGCTGACTGGTTACAATGTAACTGGCATCTGATGTCACGGTTACAGCTGTATGTCTCTAGTCGTGCTGACTGGTTACAATGTAACTGGCATCTGATATCACGGTTACAGCTGCATGTGTCTAGTCGTGCTGACTGGTTACAATGTAACTGACATCTGATATCACGGTTACAGCTACATATGTCTCTAGTCGTGCTGACTGGTTACAATGTAACTGACATCTGATATCACGGTTACAGCTGTATGTCTCTAGTCGTGCTGACTGGTTACAATGTAACTGACATCTCATATCACAGTTTTACATATGTCTCTAGTCGTGCTGATTGGTTTGGGGAAGGTGATAGGGTGGCTGGGGCAGTGATTTAGGGAAGGTGATAGGGTGGCTGGGGCAGTGATTTGGGGAAGGTGATAGGGTGGCTGGGGCAGTGATTTAGGGAAGCTGATAGGGTGGCTGGGGCAGTGATTTGGGGAAGGTGATAGGGTTGGTGGGGTAATGAGGTGGGGAAGGTGATAGGGTGGCTGGGGCAGTGATTTGGGGAAGATGATAGGGTGGCTGGGGCAGTGATTTAGGGAAGGTGATAGGGTGGCTGGGGCAGTGATTTGGGGAAGGTGATATGGTTGGTTGGGTAGTGATTTGGGGAAGATGATAGGGTGGCTGGGGCAGTGATTTAGGGAAGGTGATAAGGTTGGTGGGGTAGTGATTTGGGGAAGATGATAGGGTGGTTGGGGCAGTGATTTGAGGAAGGTGATAGGGTTGGTGGGGTAGTGATTTGGGGAAGGTGATAGGGTGGCTGGGCTGGCTCCTTGCATCTTCATTTGAACTGATCCATGCAACATTTTCATATCGATCCCATATTAAAGATACATGTCTTCTTTCTCAATGAGCATATGTTTCGTACATATTGATGGCAATTAACTGTCCGTCTATCATTATGCATATCACAACAAGAAACACTGCCTACAATCTCCGTTCACAATCTGTTGGTCATACAGACCCTGAAACACACATATCCAGTTCAGCCCATACACATCCTTGACAGATGGTATGTCGAGATTACGGGTTTCAGAAATGAAGCGAGTATTTTGGCTCGTTTATACTCAGACAATCGAACACTCGTTTGTTTCTGTAAATTGTATATTTTCTTTTCAGAGACAAGATCTACTCACAATCCTTTAAGGACCTGAGAGACGTTAGAGACTTGATGTCCTCAATGAAACAATCATGACCCATACACCCCTGTATCGACCAGTTGTATATCTCTGTATATATGACATCCACCAACAGAGCGCCACAAACACACAGACTGTCATAACAATGACATATGTTGACAGTTTCTATTTGTGTTTCCATATATACACGGCCCAGTGAATAGCGCCACAGGTAACTAGATCATCAGGCTGACACGGGCTCTAATGACTGCATATATATACTCCATACCTGTAACACGTATAACTGGAAGTGCTCGGAATAAGAAACAAGTAAAGGTTGTACTATAAATTCCATTCCTTCCCCTCTTGACCATACCAATTGCATTTATTTTCTCATCCATAACTTTGGCAAATAAATATGCAAGTGAATATCCATAATAACCATTATCAGTTGATACAGATTCGATCAAGTGTACAAGACAAAACAGAGGAGCAAGTTGTAGATATGTTCTCTGAAAATCAGCAATGACACCGGGTGTTCGACCAAATGGTAAGAGCGTCCACTCCACTAGGAGCACCCACCACTCACACACCGGGTGTTCGACCAAATGGTAAGAGCGTCCACTCCACTAGGAGCACCCACCACTCACACACCGGGTGTTTGACCAAATGGTAAGAGCGTCCACTCCACTAGGAGCACCCACCACTCACACACCGGGTGTTCGACCAAATGGTAAGAGCGTCCACTCCACCAGGAGCACCCACCACTCACACACCGGGTGTTCGACCTAATGGTAAGAGCGTCCGCTCCATCAGCAGCACCCACCACTCACACACCGGGTGTTTGACTAAATGGTAAGAGCGTCCGTTCCATCAGGACAACCCACCACTCACACACCGGGTGTTTGACTAAATGGTAAGAGCGTCCACTCCACCAGGAGCACCCACCACTCACACACCGGGTGTTTGACTAAATGGTAAGAGCGTCCACTCCACCAGGAGCACCCACCACTCACACACCGGGTGTTCGACCAAATGGTAAGAGCGTCCACTCCACCAGGAGCCCCACCACTCAGACAATTCGCATTAAATAGTTATTGTCAGTTCGATGCCTGACACTGCACAGCAGAACTACGGTCATGCGACTCCGGCCTGTAAACAAACCAGGCATTGGTTCCTATAGACTCTATTCCTTGATCCGTGTTCGATGACAAGTACCATATATCATATATCTGGCATTTTATGTTAATTCTAAACTTTCCTTATATACCCGGGATATCATTTTAACGGACATCTTATATTCCCGGGTATATAATGAAAATATAAGATTAAATTGTTATTTGCAGAAGATTTATTCAGCAAAATCTGGCACGTTAGGTGTTACTGACAAGAGAGCCTGGTGTGTACCGACAGTGTTTATCCTTTATTTAGGACTGGAAGTGTTTCTGTTGGATTTTTCAATGGTAATTGGAAAACTATATTTTGTCCGACTGTTACATAATTGTCAAACCACAACACTTTGACATGCCATCTATAGTCAAATTGTAAGCTAACTGACACGATACCATCGATTAGTTAAAAATATAAACTATTCGATGAATATTTGATAAAGCTAGCTAGGCCATAGAACAAAGCTTCGCTTGATCCGGGTATCCAGAGATACGCCTGCAGCAGAGCGCACACATATTATAACACGAATCCTGTCGCCTGGTGATGTGGGGATCAGTTTCTGGTATCTAATGACACCTACCTCGTTCTCCTGTGCCCCCAACTCCGTCTGCATAGTGCATACCCCTCCTCTCAAGCCATGCTGTTGCCCATCTTCTCCTAACTGCCTTTCTCAATCAATACTCACACACAGCAGAGCCAAGTTTCCCGCGCACAGCACTTGGTCGTCTGCCACAGGCTTACCATGACCCGGAAGCACTTAATCCATTGAAAAGGTCTTAACCTTTGACCAAGGGAGTCATCACTGTTATCTTCACATCATGTCTGAATGTAATCCTCGGATGATGGCAGAGTTAAAGCAGGGAGTCCTACTGAGCGTTCTTCCGTGCCTTCTTCTCAGGAGCATCGTCGTTTACGGTCCCTTTCAGGCAGCGGGGGGAAACAAAGTGAGGGCGCTCAGAGCTCGTTCTGGCTCGCCTTATTTCGCCTAATGGTTCGCCAGGCAATACAAGCATGTTAAGCGTGATCATTTATATTGGCAATGTAAACGATAAAATTCGATCCATATTGATCCTTATAATGTACTGTTGACGGATGTCACGGATATTTCATTGATTACCTCTCTAAATTGGCGGTAAATGTAGTCATGGGGTTTGCCTTTCGGCTTCTAGCCTGCTGGAATCTCCACGGACAGTGTTGGAAGGCCCACTACTGTCTACCTCCTCTCAAAACAAATTTACTGAGCTGGCCATTCACGGAAGCCCTCTCATCGCAACGCTGTGTGTCCGGATCGAATCAACGCTCTTCTTGGCTTTGCGGCCTTGCTGACTGCATCGAGTGAAACGGGATTAAAAGCAGATAATCACTATTTGTTTCCCTTGAAAAAACTAATTGAAATGTGGAAGAAGGGTGTTTGTAGAGCAGCAAATTCCATCAGGCAAACTGTCAATGGTTGAACCTGGATAACGTCTTCTCAGTAATGTTTTTATAGTTCTACATCTTTCGTACAATTCGTTTTTAAAATTCAATCATTCTTTAGATCGCTGTGTCGTTTTCTTTCTCCAGATAGTTTTAGCCAGCCTAAGCCTAACGGTGACGTGGACTTGTGAGATGCTGTCGGCTTCATGGGCGTACTGTGTGCGGTCGGTACTTTGTACAAGGTACGGTTTTACATTCATTGTACATCATTGTAATGAAAATGAGATCCTGTATTACAACGGTGTACTCATTACAGCCATAGAGATGTAACCATAGAGATGTAACCATAGAGATGCAACCATAGAGATGTAACCCTGTCTGATTACCCCGCGTTGATGCGTGTATCAATATGAATTTTGATATGAAGTAAGTCGTGTGTGAGATAGTTCTGTCCTCCGACTGTCATGTATAAAGTATATATTATGATGATGCCCTTCCTGAACACACAGACGTGTATTTGTGTCCTACAGTGCACTGTGTAGTGGCAGCATGGAGTAGATCCTGTGGTGTGTTATGTCGATTGGGACCTCTTCAGTATGTAGATACCCCAGCTTGGACACCTCGTGCAACTTCAAAGCATCTATGCAGCTGTTAAAACTATAAGAACATACCAGTAACATTTTCAATATTGTTGTTATTTGAGCCACATTGCAAGTATTGTAATTACTGCTCACTACCAAATACATGTATACTGGGAACATCGTAAAGTCTGCCATATTTACCGAAATATGTTTCTGTAAATATCTGAGACTCATTATCTGGCTTTATAATTTATAATTGTCCAAACATTTTCAAGTAACATTTTCAAGTAATATGATCTAAACTTTTAAGAGGCAAAATGTGAAGGTGAGCTGGTATCATCTCACAATACATATTGATATATACATTAATACACAGGGTTACGTTATTGTTTCTTCTTCTTCCTCCTCCTCTTCTTCTTCCTCCTCCTCTTCTTCTTCGTCGACTGTCATCAAACATTTTCTCGGAAGGGACAAACAGGAAACTATTTTCCTAAATGTTCCATAACCACGAAACAAATCATGTTTATTGATTCTAACACCCACGGTACAGACGGCTTCATTCTGAAAGGCATGCCCCGATTAAATGCATATTAATGTAGTCATGAAAACTACGACATCGGCGACGTCTGTCCGTAGTAATAAAGAGACAAAACTCCGCAAGATACAAAGTCCATTGTATTCGACAACTGCATCACGGGCATGCGATCATGAACATCGTTCAGTGATGATACAGGTGCTTGCGACGGCGTCTCCTCCCCCATCATTGGCACTATCATAAACACATGTTAAGGCAATCATGTAGTCTTGTGGGGAGTGTTTTGTCACTCGGAACCTTTGTTCAATGTTCTAAATATCAAACATGTGAAGCGTTACTGGTCTTCTTACTTCTTGTTCTGCTGTGTAGATCAGTGGACGGGTATTGGCTAGTTGATGGTTATTGGTCTATATTAGATTATTTATGCACTTAACAGTTTGAAATGACCAATATTACCCATATCATCTTCAACATCGATGGTAGTGATTACTTCAGAATCGTACTTAACTACCGGTCGTACTGTGTTCCTAATATCTTCATTATTACCATACAACTATTATTAGAAACTGGTATCTCTCACAATTTTGAAAAATTTATTTTTCTTCTCTGTATTCCTTACTCCGTTTTCAAAGTTATTTTCTTTATTTTCATTTCTGTATTTTATAGCATTTCTTTTTAACTCAAGTAATAACACCATTATTTCTAAATATTACTTGGTTCATCCATACTGACTTCCAAACACAAGTATTGCAAAATAAATTCCAACGTATCCAGTTTTCTCTGCAACTCAACTGCAGATACCGATACCAATACAATGTCATAAACAAACAGCAATAGTTTGACGCTATCAAAAAGCTCTTTTGTACTGTGATAAAATTCTGTAGTAAGTGTATTGATGACAATTGTAAATAACAGCGGGCTTAACGCGCAGCCCTGTCGGACTCAGGTTTTACAATTTCCCATATGAACACAGACACATTTGTATGTATATTCTTTAACAGTATTAAAGTTGCCATGTTCACCAATAAGTAAATACATGAATGATAATTTGTCCTATCAATAGAATGCAAAACTTTCCAGAAGTCACACTATATTAAGACATTTTTTACCAAAAGTCGAATTATCGTGATCGAAACCAGCTTGGAGTCGGCATTATACGTCAAAGCTCAACCAATTCGGGAAATTTCCAGTGCAAAAATAAATACTGAACATTAGATGTATATATTGAAGCAGCCTTTATACCACTACGGCAAGCCGTGTACCCGGGGAAATTACGCCGTTTTAATAATCGACACTGCAATCCACACAATTCAACCATTTAAGATCGACCTATTTGAAGTTACTTCACAAAGTATTTGATCTTGATGCATGCATTGGGACAGAGAGGATTACAGAACGTGTTAATCTGGTGTGAGGTCATCACCTGTGTCATTAACACTGATTTCGATAAACCTGGAAATAAATACAAGAAGAATTTTGGCTGATAGACTTTATGAACATCGCAGGTCAAAACAATAACCAGAAATTACATATTTCGTTATTGACGAGAAAACCAACCACCAGGCCACACTATATTAACACTCAAATCTAACGACTTCATAGTTAACGAGCGATTCCCTATTTGGGTACAATGTATGAAGACAATGTATGCAGCTCATTTCAGGTGTCCCACGTCGTGAATTGTTGAAATATTGTTAAAAGCGGAGAATTAAACTCACTCATTACAATACTGTAGCTCGGGACAATGAGATTTAACTTAGATAAAACAGAAATAATTTTGATATATGAATACTCTTCCCCAGGCACCACGACTCCACCCCACCCCTAACCCCACCCCACCTCCATCAGTCATCCATTAAGTACACGTGTACGGGTCTCGATTCCTCCAGTCTTCCAATCTGATGTCGGACAAATGTGGGTCACCACTGCAGCTCAGCCAGCGTATTGCACCTCCCAGTTCTCTTGCCCACTTCAATGACTGAATCCAGGCTTACATGCTTCAGCAGGACGTCTTCACACTCACCATTTAGGTCAGACAGACTGGCAGGAATGCATACCTAAGTATAGTATACACCTGAGTCTCCTCATTACCTGCGAAGAAATGTACACGGTCGATATGCTAACCTTTAGTCATGATGAAACCTGGACATAAATAACTGCAACAGATGATCTCTCACCACGGCGGACGAGAAGATTGCAGCGTGTCAAGTCTCAAATTGATCCCAATAGCCTGACGGGTCTATTTTCCCATATTCAAGTGTGGTAATCACGCAGATTTTCAGTCGCTTTAACTACAAGTACTATTTATCAAAAAGGTCAACCGTGATAATGTATTGAAAGGACAACTTTGGCGTGATACACATCAGTTCAGCTGGAATGAATGCGAGTGACGTTTTCTGTTGCAGTTCCGATCTACTGGACGCTATCAAGCAGACGAGGAAGTCTGACGTTCATGTGGGTAATTTGTGTTATGGCTCTAATGACCATGAACCACCCGATGTCAGCGATGTTATGAATGGTTGACACGTGAGTAGCAGGTTGAACTGATGCCTTGCATTGACACCGACGACATAGTTAGATGGGAAAGAGTAATTTACCACGGCAGTCTGTCATTATAAACAGTGTCGTAACATTAGCCATGGCCTAGTCCAGGAATCATCAAACAAACATATCAATAATATGGGAGCATAAGATAAGACACGTGTTTCAGCCCTGGTTGGACCTTGAACCAATTACAGACGACAAACTTCATTATTGTCATACTGAATATACATATAACCAACAGTTAATGAAAGACAGAAACTTCTTTTCTCATCTACAGACATATTGTTGATGTATAGCTCATGTAAACAAGGAGGACATGATGGCAACACTGCGTCTAGAGAAACAACGACAGTAGGTTTGAGGACATGATGACAACACTGCGTCTAGAGAAACAACGACAGTAGGTTTGAGGACATGATGACAACACTGCGTCTATAGAAACAACGACAGTAGGTTTGAGGACATGATGACAACACTGCGTCTAGAGAAACAACGACAGTAGGTTTGAGGACATGATGACAACACTGCGTCTAGAGAAACAACGACAGTAGGTTTGAGGACATGATGACAACACTGCGTCTAGAGAAACAACGACAGTAGGTTTGAGCTAACCATATCAAACTGACAGCAATCATTCTCATATGTTCTAATATCCTGAACCAAAAGGCCACCCCGTACAGGTTGTACAACACCAGCACTGACCTTGTACACTGGGAATTTTGTGTTAAGGAGTTTATGTGCTGATCTTCGGATGTATTTCTGGCAGAATTAAAGGTAGCCGACGTAGGCATGTGCGTGCCAGCTGGTGCCAACTGTGAAGAGTTCCTGGCTTTGTCTGCTTCCATGTTGGCGTATACTGGACTCTAACACTAAGCTGAGTCAGAGGACATTGATGCCCGGTTTAGATCACCCTTGGCCTTTTTGACAGTGCCATGAACAATCTCCATTCTTAAATGGCCACCTTTTTTGCTGTGCCATGATATCCTCGAATCTCCATTCAAATGTTGTTTTGGAACCGTGTCATTTACCATCTAAAGGTCGTTGTAAAACAGCCACGCATAGAGATATCCTCGAAGATAGGGGTTTTATTTGTTCATGAACGGCCACATGTATCATTGTTTAGTTCCGTTTCTGACTGATATTTGTTATCAGAGGGGCTATCATTGAGCGCTACAAATGTAAAAGCACTGATGACAGATGACAGAAATTTGCATTTCATTTATACTGGTTTGTATTTTGAATTGGGTTTTATGCACCATACAAAATGACATATGAATTATTTTGTAAGTCTTGAATGTTTGTATGATATTTCGGCCAATATATAGCAAATGGTTGTATGGAAATTCAGGGTCTGTATCATTACCATAGCTATGTTCTGGTTTTATGACCTTGTCCACCAATCAGTAGGTTACAGATTGGTAAACTCATCATGGAAAACGGGTATATATCGATAGTGTTCATTTGAAGTACGATGTGTACAGATTGGTAAACTCACGCCAGCACTCACTCGCTCACTCAGGCTAT